CGATTTGCACCGAAGATCGGCCATCCTCCTCTCCTCGAATCCACACAGCTACGCTCCGGCACCCCTCGAGAAAACGCCCCAAGTAAGCCAGTCGACCTAGTTCCAGCGAGGCCCTTCGAAGTTTCTGACAACACCAGCGTACCTCATGACCGCAGAGAACAATGGCTCTGCAAAGGCCCTACCCCCACTCCACAATCGCCATTTGCTGCTGCCCAATCTGATCTTTCCCTTCTTCCTCAAGCTCAAAATAACGACCTCCTAGGAAGAGAGTCCTCCGACGAGGGGCGTCCCTACCCCCACTCTCATTTTTTAGGCGATCTAATCAATAAGCCCTATTAAGGAACTTGAGCTTTGAAACACTAATGCACCACTTCACTTCCATAAACTTGAAAGGGGAAGGACCCCAGATATCAGAATCTTAGTTGCACGAAGCAGGAGCGGAGGCAGGAGCGAGAGCGGGAGCGGGGGAGCGTGAGCCGATAGAAGTTTCTTAGGTTCGGAGCGCCTTGAGGAGCACTTATATATATATGTAACTTAGAAAATATGAGGAATAAGAACTCCGAAAATATGAGGAAGAATGAATATATTTTTGTTATATTCAAAACTTCTTGTCTTACAAGACCAAATGACACTCCTTATATAGGAGATATTACAAACATCATTATAACCCATTATATGCCACTTACATATTATATATTACCACTATCTACCACTATCATATTATATACATGCCACTATCTACCACCAACACCACTATCATATTCTAAACATGCCACTATCTGTATATATAAATAAAATTAATTTAAAAATTCAGCATGTATTTGTTTTCTTGGAGTGGCTTTATTTAAATATATTAAATTTGATGTCTTACATTGCTACACAAAAATATAATAAAATCCCATTAGAATTATGTTTAGTTTGGTTTGATTTGATTTTTAAAAATAAAAAATATAATTGGTTTGGTTTGATTTGACTTTATTTTTAAAAATATAAAATATGATTAGTTTAGTTTGATTTAACTTATAAAAATGATAAAATTAACATTGAAAAAGTTTTTTCATTTTGTTTTGATGAATATGCATCTTTTATAATTATGAAATGAATACAATTATTGTTATTGCATTTATAAAGGTTGTGCAACAATATTATTTATTTTATTTTAAATAAAATTGAAAAAAATAAAAAATAGAAAAAAAATAAAAAAGGGTCTCAGATATAAATAAATAAAAAATAGGACTTTTGTTATAAAAGAGAAAAGAAAAGTATATTCAATCTTTCATGAGAATAAGAAGAAATAAAAAAAAAGACAAAAAAAAGAGAGTATATTCTATCTAAAATACACTTTTAGATGGAAGCATTGCACAACGTGTCAAAATATGTAATTTTGAGTACTCAAGTCATCTGTGTTTCATTCTCAACCAAAAAGAAATAAATAAATAAAAATGGAGAGAAAGAGAGAGGCTTTCACGAGAAGAAAAAGAAAAATAAAAAGGCAGAGAGAGAGAGATGAAAAACAGAGACGATCAGCAAGAGGGAAAACAGAGGGAAAGACGATCTACGAGAGAGAGAGAGACAAACTGCGGGAGAAAGACGAAAAGCACAGAGAGAGAGAGATGACCTTCGAAGTGATGAAAAAAGAAGAAAAATGAAGCAAAGGAGGACATACCTCGATCTAGGGCTTCAACTTCACCCTCTTGAGCTTCAACATATTCAGGTTCTTCTTCACCTTCTTTCTCCTCTTTCTCATTGCCGACCAATAGGCTAGGGTTTTTGTTCATAGCCACCAACGATCCCATCTTGGACAGGATCTACAGAAATGCGATTCTTACACGTTTCTTTCTAAGAAACGCGGAATCGCATTTTTTACAAAGATTCATCACCTGGTTGCACGATTCCTGCAACTAAGATCATAATGTATAAGATCAAAGACACTAAGAGCACGAGTCATGTGAGCGATATAGCTAGTGCGAGTATGCTTAGACAACTCACAAACCATACAATGAAATTTAGAATATTTGCAAGCTTTATTAAATGAAGGAAAAAGTTGACATAAATATTGACAATTAACATGACCCATACGAGCATGCCATAATTTTAAAGTCTGACTCTTAAAAACACAAGACATGGAAGTAGGCAAAACAAATGCCTGAAAACTAGCTAAAGAAGAAGATGAATGCTTGTCTAAGAGATCCCCAAAGCAGTAAAGCCCATCATACTCATCATACTCATAGCCCTTGCCAAAAATCATTTTCGAACTCAGGTCATGTAAAAGGCAAGAAGATGGTAAAAAGATGACAACACAATTAAATTGTTTGGCAAGATGACTAATGGATAAGAGATTATAGGCAAAATTTGGAACATACAAAACAGATAATAAAGTAATGGTAAGGGATAAAGACATTCCACCCTTATGATGAACGGAAGATGAAGATGTGATGACGTGAAGACCACCTCCTTAATTAATTAAGTTAATTATATGATTTGCATTGATTATGTGTTTATGTGCTATTATGTGCCATGTGTGAAATGAATTGTGATATTGTGAGCAGATATGGTTAGGATATGAATTGAACCTGTCCAAATTCACTTAAATTAAACAATTCTTATCATAATCTAATTTAAATTAAACTAAATTTAATTATACCAATATGAATTAGGCTCTAATTACCTATCCAAATATTTAATTTTAACCTTGTATAAATTACTGATTTAGACAGGTTCAATTCATATCCTATATACATCTGTTAACAATAACACATTTCAAAGGTTGGTTTGGTTCATTTAAGTCTTCACAGCTCATTGGACGATATATTTTATTATTGGCAGGCTTTCGCTAGCCCTTACTATTGTATTACTGTTAAGCAGGCTTTCAGTAATCTTGCATTACTGGCCGGTCATTTTTCTAATCTCTTGGGGCGGGGGTTGGGTCATGACAGAAGAACCATCAACAAGACACTCAGATTGGACGATAGTAGTAGGGACTGAAGAAAGAAAGGAAAACTCACCCATCATATGATCATTAGCCCTAGAATTTAGAGCCTATGAGGAACTAGCAGACCGAACATGGAAAGCAGTAGTAGCACTTGTACCAAGGGTGGCAGCAGTGAAATACGATTAGCCACGAGAACTAGCAGTGAGAGATCCAAACTGAGCCTGAAGCTGACCAGTCTGAGTTTGTAACTCCTATAAATTAGGGATATTAGAAGACCCAAGAGTAAGAGTAGCCTCCACTAAAGTAGTAGTGCGAGAGGTACCAGTACCATGAGGGTGAGAAGAACGTTGCCTCAACTCAGGATCAAACTTGAAGCAACGAGCCTTAACATGACCGAAAGCACCACAATGATGACAAGTAACTGAACCAGTAGAACCCCGAGAACCAGACTTTGCAGTAAGAGTCATCTGATTAGATAAAACCGAAGACACAGGAGAAGGGCTTGGCTGAACCAGACGCCTACGGTGCTCATCGCTATTAATGGCGGCAAAGGTCTCATAGAGGGATGGCATGGGTGATGTGTTTAAAAATCTGAGTTTAAAGAGATTCAAACTTAGAGTTTAAACCCATCATAAAGGTAAGTGTGCTGGCGAGCAAGGCGTTTGGACACAAGAGAGGTAGCATCTGCTGGTAACTTAATTAAGGGCTCAATTGAGCCAACTCTTCCCAACGGACCTGAAGATATCTGAAGAACTCCGCCACAGAAAGTCCCAAAGTAGACTGAGAGGCAGGAGCAATATCATGATAGAGCTTAAAGATGCGAGTATCATTATGAGCATGAGCATACATTTGTGACAATGCACGTTATAGAATTGGAAGTGTATCACAATAAAGGAACCTGTGGTAAATACGATCCTTCATGGAGTTGAAGATCCATTCCAAAATAGTACAATTATTAATATCCCACTGGGCATGGGTAGGGTCTGTCGTAGCTGGCTGGGTAGTAGTAGGTAAAAGTCAATGGGCCTTTCCCTTTTTCCCTAAATAGAGTTTAATGGAGCAGCTCCACGCGGCAAAATTTGTCCCATTTAACACCACACTTGTAATACGATAAACAGGAGTGTGATGAGAGAGAAAAATCAGAACTAACTGGGACAGATTTTATGGGTACATCAGAAGAGACAACAAGAGATAGCTTAGTCATGGTGGAATAATAGGGGCTAAAAATCACACAGAATCACAACAAAACAGTTCAAAACAATGCAAGAAACTAGAAAAAAAACTCAACGGCTTATCCAAATAAATGCTACCGAACAAACATGGTAACCCAATGAGCAAAATAAATATAGAAAAATGTTTACCACATAAAAACAAGAACCCTAGAAGGGTAAGAAAGGGGTAAAACTACCCAAGAGGGACAACCGCACTAGACCCAAGCCAGAGGGGGTCTAGTTGGCACCTAAAAATCTGGTGGCAGCAGTTTTGAAAGGCTGTCGAGGGGCTGAGGAGAGAGAAGGGTAGCTGTCAGCTAGGGTAGAAGAAGGAGAGGCTGTTGGGTGGCTGGGTAGGAGAGAAGGGGTTGTTGGTGAGATGGGTGGAGCTGTCAGGTGGAAGGGCTGCCGAAATAGAGAGAGGGTGGTGGGTGGCTAGGGTTTGGTGGCTCTAATACCAAGAAGAAGTATAGAATTGAATGCTTACCCATGAATGAGGTAGAGGCCGTGTATATATAATGCATTCATGATACAATTTAAGAAACAATATAAAGATGGCTCTAAATCCATGATTCATACAACTACCAAAAATAAAAATATTCTAAGTCCTATATTCAACATTCTAATTCCTATATTCAACGTGTTGGTTGGCATCTTTTACTGTTCCTTTACTTTGGTCAGATAAGGGAAGTTTAATGTTTTTTATTTTTATTTAGCACTAAGTTTTTTGAAGGGAACAAAAAAAAAGGAAAAAAAGATGAGATTGAACATCATTAAGTTTACTTTGATCATATGAGTTGCATTATAATTACTTAATGCCGAGTTATATGATCTGACCAGTTTGCTTGGTTGTGCAGATGTTAGTGTATGAGTTCATGCCTAATGGTTCACTACATGATCTCCTTTCTGGTAAGGATTTTGTAATCTTCAATGCTCATTATGCAGTTGTTTGTCAGTGTGTGGATTTCTGGTGCGATTACATCCTAATTCCTGAACTCCCGAAAATACTGCTTTTCTCCCCATGGTTTTGAGGGGAGGATCAGGGGTTTTACATGCTTCTGTTTTCACCCTTTGTTTTTTAAAATGAAAGAGAGACGCATTTGATGGAATAACTTGCTTAAAGGACTACATTTTGTGATTTGTGCTCAAGAGTTTATTCTACCAATATGCCAATATCTCTTTTAAGACAGGAAGCAATCAATGAACTTTAGTTTTTCCGGTCGATATTTAATCTTATTGTCTGTTTTACATTTTCGGTCTGTTATATGACAGCTGGACCCAAAGAATCCCTAAGTTTTGGAAGAAGATTGCATATAGCATTGGATGCAGCCAAGGGCATTCTCTACCTCCATTCTGAAGCAGACCCTCCAGTTATCCACCGCGATATCAAGGCAAACAACATACTGTTAGACTCCAAGTTTACAGCAAAAGTGTCTGATTTTGGAATCTCAAGGCTTGCACCGGTAGCAGATGCCAGTGGAATTGCAACTGCTCATGTATCCACAGGAGTGAAAGGCACACCAGTAAGAATTGCTCTAATGACATTTTGGGATCATAGCTGTGAAATTATAAAATCGAATGCTGCAATTAGCACCCCATAAATTATTTTGGACCCATCTATTTGTAGCTTTTTTTTATTACAATAATAACCTCAAATAAAATTACTACGAAAGACATTATTAATTTTGGGACACCCGTCTCACAATTAAACCCACACACTCACTACATCATGAATTAGGGTTTATGAGAGCACCCACCTCCATCACCACCCATCCATCTTCCCCAAATTCCACCTTCAAAACCTATTAACTCTCAAAATCTTGAAAACCCTTTGGTGGCAATATTTCGGCGGTAATGGTGACAACCATTTGATTACCTACACTTCTCCGGCAATGACAATGAGTGAATTTTTTTGACAACCACAATTCCATAAGACGAAAGGAGTACAACAATAAAAGCTTAGAGAAGGTTCATAGCTTTGATATTGATTGGCCTTGTAAGGGTAAGTTTCTTGAAAAAAAATGGCAAAAATAGTAAAATATGTTTGTCATTTTTTCGGGACTAAACTCCCGAACATATGACCGAAATTTAGGAACACAAACCTGAACATTGTTTATTTGTTCGGTAACCAGTAACCAAACATTTATTATTTGTTCGGAAACAGATAACCGAACATTATTCATAGGTTCGGACCTATTTTACTGAGAAAACTAAATCAATTATTATAATTTTTTTCTGCAAGAGAAGAAATTACTATGAAAAAACTAAGAAATTATGTGTATATATATAGAGAGAGAGATAGAGAGCATATCAACTGTGACAATGATGGATGAGGCAACAAAGATAGTAATTACATTACCTCTTCTTCTTCTTCTTTGGGGGCTTTGTTAGGGTTTTTTTGGAAGTGGAATTTTTTTGGGGTGTAGGGGTGTGTGGGTGTGCATTTAATGAGTGGAATGTTTTCACAAGGATAATTTTGGTATTATTCGGAGGGAGAAAAGAAATTTTAAGAGCTTCAAAATTTATAAGTGGGGGTCCAAAGATATGAAGAGTCCAAAATAATTCATGGGGTGCTAATAGCACCATTCTATAAAATCAGATTATGGAGTGTCGAAGGCACCCATGCACCTATGGCATGTTTGCATGATGGTAGCCATTGATGGGGCTTGAGCCACAACATTGATCCCTAACTACATAATCTTCATGAATTGGTCAATAATATGAGCTTGAGCAATATAACAATTCATCTTGACCATACACACCTTTCCTTTTCCTGTTTACAGAGTCTATTTAGGAATCATGGATTTATGTGACAATCATAATTAGAGATAGAGGGATCATACTCTTGACGTGGAGTTCCCTTTGCAGGAATTGCCCCTTTTAACTGTTGTCAGTATCATGTTTCCATGCACCCTTCCTGTTAGCAAGAGAAGTTGAGATTGGAAATAAGTATTGCCAATTCTTTTCTTTGTGATGACCTGTGAGACTGAGCAAAACAACTAGTATATCACACTGAAACTTATACAATATGGACATGAAACTCCCAATATTTTGAGACAACTTCGCTCTCGGTATTATGAGCTATAAAATTGTGGTCTCATGTTCTAGTTGTATATCTGGAGGAATAATTGAAGTTTCTTTACAGTCTAGTCAAAAAGTTTTACCCACAAAATAAAGTTAAATAATGTGGTTTATTTATTAATGCATGAGTTAACTACCTAAACAAAAAAGTAAATACTAATAGTGGTTCCCATAATAAAAGCATATGATATAATGCTGTTGTGTTTTACGACATACCTCTAGGCTGTATAGTTTCAAGCCTGTCTAATGTTAAAAATTTGGGGTTCAAATTATGGGGCATGTAGAAATATAAGTTCATAAAGACGTCTTCAAGATGTTGACCAGTAAATGGTAAACATGTCACCAAGATGTTGATTATTAATTGGAAAAAGTATACCACATATTATAATTGAGTAGTTTTTGTCATGGCATTTGTGCAACAGAATGCTCTACATTATTATGAATGTCCTTTGGTGCTTATAAATTGTAGTTTAAATGTCCCCTATATGATGACTTTCATGCAGGGCTACCTTGATCCAGAATACTTTTCGACTCACAAACTAACAGAAAAGAGCGATGTTTATAGCCTCGGAATTGTATTCCTAGAGCTCTTGACAGGGATGCAGCCTATATCTCATGGTAGACACATTGTTCGTGAGGTATTTAAGGCTTTTAATTAATACCCTTTGCTTTTTATTTCCTCTTTTTTTTTTTTTCTTTTTTCTTTTTTTTTTTGGTCCTATGAATGACTCTATTTCCAAATATCCAATTCCAGGTAAATGCAGCGTGTCAATCTGGATTGATGTTGTCAATCATAGACCAGAGCATGGGTCAGTATCCTTCTGAGTGTAGTAAGAGATTCATGGCATTGGCTGTCCAGTGTTCTCAGGTTGAGCAGGAGGCCAGACCTTCAATGTTGGAAGTGGTCAGAGAATTGGAGAACATAGCTGCACTGCTGCCACAATCTGAGGCCATTCCGTTGGAGTTGGAAGCCTCTAGTTCTGGAATGTCAAGGTCTGCCTTGTCATCAGTCTACTCTAGAAAGAACTCGCATGTGTCCATGGATTTCCCTGGAAGTGACCTTGTTAGTGGCGTCATCCCCTCAATCAGGCCTCGCTGATGGAGCAGTAAATTTGTCCCTAGAAAGCTTCATAAAATGTCCATATGTTATGCAATGTAATTGTAAACATTTCTTAGGCTACAGAAAACACTTGTTACTATTATTCTGATGAACATATGTAATAGGCTTGAGTTTGTATGGGTCCTGAGTAAGTACTATAAGTTTGAATCCTGGTATGATAAATAGTTGATCCAGTTTACAGCTCTGCTTTCATGGGTGTTTTGTTTCTGTTGTATTGTATAGCCCTATGACTTTTTTATTATTAACATGGTTAAAAGTGAGTTTTTTGATTTTTTAACTTTTTTTAGTCTCATTACTTCTTTATTTTTTTTGTACGTTTTTTTCAAAAAAAGTCAAAAAAATCAATTTTTAACCAATTACCCAAAATAGGAACTTTACGCTAATATGACCGTGTACTGGCTTGCTAAGTTATCTTGCCAAAACAATTGACTTTATTTTTTAACTAAAAAGATTCCATGGATTATAATTTCTTTCAATTGCAAATCAATAGGGAGGTGAATATTGGAAAAATGAAAACAAAAAAGGAATTAACTGAGGGTGGCAAGAAAGATGGGAAGAGAAGACTTGCGGAGGGGAAAGGCAAGAGAGGAAGGTGAGGGCCATTTTTGTTTATCAAAACTCAAATTTTATGAGATTGAAATTTTCTTTTATTCATTTTAGAAATGAAAATAGTGTCCACATTTTTTTTATTATTTATTTTATTTTATTTTTTCAAATATGACCTATAATTTTAAGTTAAACAATAAGAAAGTTTTAAATTCGAATAACTACGTGGTCAGGTAATGTATGAAGTATGCAAATGGTTGGATATATAATTTTATGCCGCTTTTATTGAAAGTTGAGTCAATGGGTTCTTCTTTTTCATTAAAGAAGACAAAATAAAGTACTTTTTACAGAAACAAAAAGAAGAATAATAAAGTAATAAAATCCTAACAGTTGTTGTATTTGAACAAAATGGTTCAAAAAAAAAGGCGTAGTCATAAAGATAGTAAATAAAATTATAGGTATGGTATAGAAAGTCCAACGTTCGTTGTTGCATTCAGAACAGAAAACAAAAAAACACAGGCCTTGTTTGGTTTGTGTTTTGAGATGTTATTTCAAAAATAATTTTCTAGAGAGTTTAAAAAAAGAAGTGATGATTGATGTGTCATAGAGAGAAAAGTGATTTTGGAATCTTTTTAAAAAAAACTTCAACCAAACATGTTTTTGGAATTTTTTTCTCAAAAGCATGTTTCAAGATTCAAACCAAACATGCCCACAAACTTTTCTTTAGTGGTGTTCGGAAAGTTTGTGTGTTGGGTTTTTTTTGATTTTTTTTATTAAAAGATAAATTTTTTATAAAATAAGAAAAAAATTAAACAAAATATTACATTTAATCATATAATTATTTTACTTTTTCTCTCACAAATATTATATTCAGTTATAAAAAAAATTCAACTGCCTACCCAAACACAAAAAAAAAAAAAAATTCCAATACAACTAAAAAAACTTACATAAAAACTTACTTTCCAAACACCAATTTTTGTTTCCGATTCATACGAAAGAAAAGCCCGCGATTATTCAATAATTCATGCATATATCATGCTAGTATAAAATAAAATAATAATGCAAATGACGTACTCAAATGTCTTTCTCTCTCTGTCTGTCTGTCCATGGAAACATATTATTATTATTATTATTGTCTTTGTCGATCAACCAACCGCGACTACAAATGCCTTGTTGAGAAGAAGTATTCAAGTCCACCTTCATTTTTAGAGCCATAGGCATCGAGCTCTCTGTTGTATTTCAGCTTCGATTGCTTCTATTAGTTTCTTTTAGATATTTCATTCGACTCTTCTCTTCTCTTCTCTTCTCAGGTGAATCTTTCTTTTCCCTTCTCTCTCTCTCCGATTATTTCTACTACCAAGTATTGATGAGAAGATTATTATTATTATTATTATTATTATGTTTAGTATGTGGGTTTTACTCTGTTACTCTGTTTTGTTGCTAATAAATTCGAAAGGATGAAACCAACTAAAATTAAAAGCTCTGCCTTTAAGCACTTCAGTTTGCAGAGCCTTGGATGTAATTTACCCAAATTGTAAATATTTGTTCTTTTCACTTGGATGCTTCCTGTAAATCGAAGGAAGCATATGCACTGTAAATTTTTATTCTTTTCACTTCTTGTTTCTCTTTTTATCTGTGGAAAATGCATATATAGATATAACTGATGATGTTGTATATGTATATATTAGAGCATCTCCAATCCTTACTCTCTTTTTTTTAATCAAATTTGAGCGAAAATGTAGTTAAAAGCTTGATATGATATAGAACACTCCAATCATTTCTCTCTTTTTTTTTCCTTTTTTTTCTTTTGTTCTTTTTTTATTTTTATTTTTTTATATCAAATATTTTTTAAAATTCCAAACTTATCCTAAAAACTTGTTTTAACTATTTTTGATGATTGAGAACTATCTCCGATCCTTGCTCTTTTTAGAATTTCATCAAATTTGAATCAAAATGACTGTTGGGAATTTGTGAATGATTTGGTTCATCCTTAATTTGGTTAAAAAATTGTCTCCTATGATTTGATACTGATTTGATGAAATAATTGAAGCACACTTTTAGCCATCTTTTCATCAAATTTGAATTTACTGTTGAGAATTTGTGAATGATTTGGTTCATCCTTAATTTGGTTAAAAAATTGTCTCCAATGATTTGATACTGATTTGATGAAATAATTGAAGCACACTTTTAGATATCTTTTCATCAATTTGAATTTAATGAAAAATTTGATTAAGGACTGGAGATGCTCCTCATTTGTAATTTACATGATATTGCTAACCTATTCAAAGAAGTTTTATCTTCTCCACAGCCCCTTATGCTCAAAACTCTTTCCTTTATTTTTTCGATATTTAGAATGATTATTGAGCACATGGAATAATTTAATTTTATTATTTGTTTTCTTGGGAATCAGGATGATGAGATTGAGAGTTGGGGAATGTGTTTATGCAGCGTCAGTTTGTTGCTTCATGCTCCTTGCTGTTTCACAAGTTACCGATCCCTCCGAAGGTGGACTGTTTGAATTCTAATTGTAATAATTTCATTTCATGACGCCAACATGCTCAATTGTTCTCAGTTTTCACATATGTTTGCAAATCTTTTATGCCATATCTTTAGCAGAATCTCATGCACCTTTTATTTCTAAATGAATCTCTGATGAGAATTACTTATCCAAAAAAAAAAATTCTCTAATGAGAATTAGCTGATGTATTGTGCCTGTTTGCAGTTTCTGCATTAATGGCCATCAAGAGCAGTTTAATTGATCCGATGAAGCATCTTAAGAATTGGAATAGAGGTGATCCATGTACGTCGAACTGGACAGGAGTTTTATGCTCTGATACAGTTGGGACTGATGGTTACTGGCATGTCCAAGAGCTGTACGTTCTCTTTTTAGAACTCCTCATATTTTACCAATTTATTATTTTCTTTGATAGAAGTCCTTAACTGATTACATAGATTTAGTTGTTCCAGGAGTGTTATTATACGAGCACGAAATAATCTTCTCTCGTATAATCCTATTGATCAAGCTTGCACTCCTCCAAACGTCGTCATAACACCTGAAATCACAAACGTGAGCTAGGCGGTAGGTGTGTGCCGAAAATCCCTCTGATGCCTAAGTCAGCAAATAGACTAAAGAGGCAAAAGCTCCGTGAATTCGAGAGTATGAATTGCAATACCCGAGTTTAGGGTTTAGCTTGAGTTTTGTAGATTCCGCACGGCACAATCCTAGTAGGACTCTAACTCTTATTTGTAGTCCTTCTAGATATCACATTCCTAAAGGATAATGTTTGTCCTTTAACACCCTCCTCACTGCTAGCCAAGTGAGATGGCACAACTCCTTACTTGGCTTCCGCCGTGCAACTAGACTACTTTTGCTTTGTTCGCCACTGGCCTAGCCGTGCAACACGCAACGCCATGCAAAGCTTGCATGGCGCGCCACCATGCTAACATCACGTGGCTTTTCTCTTTGCTCGGTCAAACCTCTATTCTTAGTTTGTTTGACTGCCTTCCTCGTAGCTTGGTCGAAGCGTTGACTGCCATTAGGAAGTAGCTAGGTCCAAGAATATGGGCCTTTTGGTAATTCGGTCAAACTTCTTTGACCGGTTCCATCCACTGTTCGGCCCAAGCTAAGCTCTTCCCAAGGCACAACTTGGCCTGACACGCAGCCCAAGCCCCAGAGTTACTTCCACCTAGCTCGGCCCAATTTGACTACACCATAGTTGTCAAATCGGGATTCGTATCGTGAATCGAAATGGCCTCGTACGGAATCGCGAATCGAATCGAATCGTGAATCGTAAAGATTCGGTCACTTTTTCTAAATTACTTAAAAACATATATCTACACATTTAGATGTTAAATATATCTTATGAATATAAAATATTCAGACTTAAATCAACAAAAATGTTATTTTGAATGATAATCATGTAATTTAATAGGTAAGAAGTTAACAAAAGTTCCTATATAAAATCACCATCTTACCTTTTTTTTTTTTAGATATTTTTTATCAACCATTCTTAATAAAGATAATAACCAAATAGTTAACAACGATATTGATATTTGGATAATAAGCATATATACTTTTCTAAATAAGAGTGAGCAAATAATAACAAAGAATTATTTAGGATATTTTATTTTAAAGCCTAAAACATTTTAAAAGGTATAACTAACCTCACACATGCAATATTCAATTTAATAAAATAGTAATAGATAATTCATAGTGTAACTTTAATCTTAAATATCTTTAGAAGATATATTACTATTTTTTTGAAGGGGAAAAAAATGAGAAGAAATGTTAAAAATATGTTAGGTCTGACTGAATCTGATTGAATCCTATAAAAAAACTTCATAATCACTAAAATAACAACAAATCATATATATATGTTGGTTATTTTGGATATTAAATGCTATTAGAAGTTGTATTATGCCATTTTCACTAAAAAGATGAAAAAAAATGAGTCGAAAATATGTCGAACACTAATTTCAAAAATTGCATGAATCGTAAAAAGTGAATCGAATCGTGAATCGATTGTGAATCATGTGATTCAGTAGAGATTCACTTCCAAAATAGATTCACTCATAGATTCGTATCGATTTTGCAAAAATTGCGTATCGAATCGTAAATCGAATCGCGAATCGTAAGATTCTAATAACAGAGGACTACACAAATTATCCTCTTAGTTATGAAATATGATATGGATGTGTTCACTTTGTTTTTTGTTGCTGATGCAGTATCTTATTACTTTTTATTACCTCTAACAGAACAACTGATCATTTCATTCCTGAATATATGTTACAGTGACTCAAATTTTTGAAAATGCCCCTCATTATCTCTTCTATCTTTGGTGCAGCCAGCTACTGAATTTGAACTTATCTGGAAATTTAGCACCTGAGCTTGGCCAACTCTCTCAACTTCAAATATTGTGAGTAATAACTAATGTTTAAAGTACGAAGTTGTCACTAAGGACTCAATCCTCCCATTGATGCTAATTCATCTATCTTTTGTTTTCTTTTGGAAGAGATTTCATGTGGAATGACTTAAGTGGCAGCATCCCGAAGGAGATTGGAAATATTGCATCTTTAAAACTACTGTAAGTTCAATTCCCAAACTTGAGTTCTTAGAAACATTTTTCTCAATGTGATTCTTCTTCTATTGCTGCCGCCGCTGTAGCTGCTATTACTTCTGTACAGGAAGTGTAGTGGTATTATCTGGCATTTGTCATTTTTCGTAAGAGATGAAATATATACCTTTTCTCGATTTGTGTCTGCCATCCTTGGCACACACAAATCAAGAGCAAACAATCGGGCTTAACCAATATGCACGGTTTGCGGGTGATTGCTTGTATTTGGAGTATTTTCATAAGGCCTTGTATTGGATGACCTGGTGAGCCAGTTGGAGTTCTCCGTCATTGAAAAAATTGTACCAGCTTCTATTCTGTAGGTGTTTGTTACATATCCTGAAACTTTATTAACCGCTTTGTAAATATATGGCATATGACGGATTAATGTCAGAGCAAATTTTGTTGAAGGCAACATGGTTAATCATAACATGATACAGTGAAGGTATAAAATCTAACCTGATTGATGCAGGCTTAAAGAATTTTCGGTAGTGCTACATGCACCAATTAGTGTACTAACTAGTGTACCAACACTAGTTATGACATTACTATTGACCCCACTCATTATACAAATTACAAATACCAAAAACCTCTTAAATTATGTCACATCATCAATTGGTACACTAGTACACTAATTGGTGCATATAGCATTATTCAAGAATTTTAGGGACTTTACAAAAATGGTTACAAAATATTAGGATTAGTTCTGACAGAATTGGATGAAATTGATGTAATGAAAACTCATGATGCAATTTTGACTCAAATAATTGTTTGGTTTTAGGTACAGTTTTTTACAAAATATTTAAGCCATTATTCAACTGTAATACACTATTCTACTAATGTAACCACATGTGCTATGTTGTTTATGCAGCCTCTTGAATGGAAACAAGTTATCAGGCTTTTTACCCAGTGAGCTTGGGTATCTTTCCAATTTGAAAAGACTCCAAATAGACCAGAACCAGATATCAGGACCAATACCTGAATCATTTTCAAATTTGGATAGTGTTAGACATCTGTGAGTGGCTTTTCAAGCTAATTGTTACTTAAGTTTGACAAGGAGTTTAGTTTTTCCACTGTGCTATATATCCACATGTATGTAACTTTTTCAGTCACTTGAACAATAACTCGCTCAGTGGTCATATTCCTCCTCAGCTTTCCAACTTATCCAATCTCCTTCACATGTGAGTTATGTAACACATTCCTCTCTCTCTCTCTCTCTCCCCCCCCCCCCCCCAAGGTGGGGGGGGGGGGGGATTGTACTATTTTAGTGATAATTGTTTTAAATAGAAGTTTGTTAACTACTTCTTGTGGGTTTTTCATATTGGCACAATGTATACAGGCTGTTGGACAATAACAACTTAACTGGACATCTTCCACCAGAGTTCTCCAACATTCCAGAGTTGCGTATACTGTAAGTCTCTTCCCCAAGTATCATTAGGTCCTTCTCTATTCAATATTCCAGCTTTGATGACACCAATAGAACAAAATATTATCAGCCATAATATTACAATTAATTTCTGTTAATGTTTCTGTTTTCCTTTTGCAGTCAACTCGATAACAACAATTTCAACGAGGCTGAGATTCCAGCTTCTTATGGAAACCTATCGACACTAGTGAAATTGTAAGTGCTATTTATAGAATGTCTTCCCTGTAGCTGTTTTGAGATTTTATTCAGTGAAGAGAAATGCCTTGCTTCTAACCCTGGTATCTTAAATCCATTTCCACAGTCAGCATATCTAAGAAGCTAGTTCTTCACATGATTGAGAAACTGGTTTTGGATTACGCATATGGAAGCTATCGTTTTCATACATTTCCAGTGTATTTTAAGGTGTTTATAAGGTGTTTATAAAGTCAATACCAATCTAATTGCATCTTCTTAGGTTCATTAGTGTTTATAAATTGCCAGAGTGCCTAATCCATCTGTAGAAGAATGCACCATCTTATCAAATTGCACATTTGTGATCTGAGAGAAAATATGCAGATGGGAATCATACACAAGTGCAGATTTGTAGATGCTCACTCCATTTGGATTGAGGGGTTTAGTGAGAAAATAAAAGAAATGGAGAGAATAAGGTTTCTCATCACTTGTTTGGATGATTAATGAGTTGAGTAATGGTGAGAAAGGAAGACACATGGTGAGAAAGACAAATCACTACGAACTTAAGTTTTGTTTCTCACCGAAAGTAGTGAGATTTGATGAGAAACCAAAATTACTCTTTATAAAAGATTTATAGTACCTAAACTATCCCTCTAAATACAAAGCAAATAAAATAAAAACACATGTATCTTCTTTTAATTATTAGCCATCCAAAATAGAAGGTGGGAAACCACAACCATTACTTTTCTTTTCTCCTCCCACAATCCAAATGGAGTGTATCAAAATTGAAAAGCCTAGCCCACACTTCTCCTTAAAACCTAGGTATTAAGGAGAGAGAACTGGTGTCTTATAACTAGCACAGATGGGGCAACTCCTCTTGGACGACAACATACACTAGCCTACCAAATTAAAAAGTCCAACCCACACTTCTCCTTAAAACCTAAGTATTAAGGAAAGGGAAACTATAGTCTTATAATTAGCACAGATGGAGCAATCCCAGGTGATGTGGACACATTCCAACAATCAACACAGAACAAATAACAGCTGGCTGATATGAATGCAAGGCCAACTTATACGGGGTGGGATGTGTAGGTTAATGTTATTATCAAACAAACTTTTCATGATGTAGGTTTTAGGACTTCAACGCACCTGTATGGGGTGGCTGTCTGCTGGCTAACCACTGAGCTATGCTTCTTAGTTACGATCATAGCACACTTCATTTAGACGTATAAGCACTTAAAAGATAATAAATATAACAGATTCTTATTATTGCTGGCAATCAGCATATTAATGTGTAAAAATACTCTGTAGGTGCTCTCAATCCTATGATACCTTTGAATTCACTGTTTTTGCAATCTTGCTCTTGCTTTGGTTTTTGCTTTTCGTATATTGCTTTGGGCTCTGGTCACTTATGAAATAACGGAAAGGAATGAAAGGCATACAGGTGAACCAAGTGTGAGAATATGTGTTCTCCTAGGATTAGGAATATGTGTTCTCCTAGGATTAGGAATAAGTGTCCTATATCTATTAGACTTCTATATATCTCAGTAATGTATTCATGTAGGATTAGGAATTAGTGGTACTCTATATAAATGATGTATGTATTCTTTGTTCAATTGAATTCAATCTAATATACAGTTTTGTTTAGAAAACTTACATGGTATTAGAGCTAGGTTCAAAACCCTAGCCCTCTCTGGTTCGACTAGTTTGTCACCATCGGAGTCGCGACTTTTCTCTCTCCAGACTCGCGAGGGTTCGAAACCCTAGCCCTCTCTGGTTAGTCTCGCGAAGGCCTCTCTCTTCCTCGCGATCTCTGTCTAAATCGATTCGCAGCCATCTACTTTGGCTCTTTGGTTAATTTGGTTCGTCTGCCTCTGTGCTTCGCGATCTCTGTCTGAGATCTTCGCGAGCTCCGTCTGAAGATCGATCTCAACTTCAGTCTCTCTCTCTCTCTCTGCGCTTCGCGATCTCTGTGATCTCTGTGCTTCAACTTGGCTATTTCTATTTAAGACCCTTTTTCAGGAATATTGCACTCAAGCCCCATATTTGTCTGTTTATTCTACAACTTTGCTTTATAATGGACCCTAAAATTCAAGCCATTAAGTGTAAACTCACTGGTGGCAATTATGCCTATTGGGCCAGTGTTATGAAGAATTTTCTTCTTGGTCAAAAAAAATGGGGCTATGTTTCTGGTTCTGCTCCTCGTCCATCGGACCCGAAGGTAGAAGGGTATCTGTCTTCCTGTGACACTTGGGATTGTGACAATGCCCAAGTTCTTACCTGGTTTCATAACTCTGTGGATGACCGTATTGGAATGATGTTTTCCAAGTACAGTACTGCTAAGGAAGTGTGGGATTATTTACTCGGTGTTTATCAGCAGTCCAACTAAGCGGTATGAGTTGGAAACAACTATTCAGAATGCTCGTCAGCGGGATCAAACTATTCAGGACTTTTATATTGAGATGACAGGTCTCTGGGATCAGTTGGCTCTTATGGAACCACCTAGTCTCAAGATACTAGACGCTTATATTGAGTTTCGGGAACAGGGTCGTTTAGTCCAGTTCTTAACAGCTCTCTCCCCTCAGTATGAGGCTATTCGAGGTGGCATCCTTCACCAATCTCCTCTTCCCTCTGTGGATGCTATTGTTCGTGAACTTCTCTCCGAGGAAACCCATCTTAAGACGGCCAGTCAGACTTTGCCTCCTTCTGTGTTCTTGGCTCCTGCCAAGCCACCCTTGTTATCGACCCCTCCTCCTCATCAACTTCAAGCCACTGCGAAACCCAAGAGAGGACCATTAGGGCCAGATGAGTGTGCTTTCTACCATCAAAGGGGTCATTGGAAGAACAATTGTCCCAAAAAGGGACGTCAGCCTGCTCCGTCTTCTCAGACACAGTTTCGCGGTCCTACTTCGAGTACTTTCCGACCTCCTGCTGCTTACACTGCATCTACTCCAGCTCCAGATCCTGACTTGGCTTCCCTGAGTGCTCAGGTTGCACAACTTCAGCATATTCTGTCCTCCTCTCAGTCATCCCCATCTGCCTCCGCTCTTACCTCTCTTCATTCAGGTTTGCTTGGGTCCTCTTCAAGTATTTCTTCTTCTATCTGGATTTTTGATTCTAGTGCCTCTCATCTTATGACTCCTCACCTTTCCTTACTTCAAAATTGTATTCCCCCACCGTTCCTATTACTATTAATACTGCTAATGGATCTGGTATGTCTGTTTTATCTGTTGGGTCTGTCTTGCCCTCTGTCATGTCTGTTGTTACTATTCCTTCTGTTTTTTATGTTTCTCAGTTATCTGTTAGTTTGTTATCTATCAGTCAACTTGATGTGTCTGGTTTTGATGTTATCTTTTCCTCTTCTGTCTGTTGTGTGCAGGATCGGGTGTCCAAGAAACAAATTGGGACCGGCCGTAGAATTGGAGATCTCTATGTGGTTGAAAGCTTGCATCTCCCCTTATCCACCTCTCCAGCTGCACTTTCCTCGTTTCAATTATATTCTCAGTCGAGTCAGTTTTACTTATGGCATTCTCGTCTCGGTCATTTGTCTGTTGACCGCTTACGGTCTTTAGCTCAGTCATGATTGTTGGGTAAAATTTCTCCTAGTCAAATTGATGAATGTCGGGGGTGTAAACTTGCCAAAATGTCAGCTTTTCCTTTTAATAAAAGTACATCTATTTCTGTTTCTCCTTTCTCTCTTGTGCATACTGATGTCTGGGGACCCTCTCCTGTTCTTACTAAAGGGGGTTCAGTATACTATGTGTCTTTTGTTGATGATTGCACCCGTTACACGTGGGTTTATCTTATGACTCATAAGTCTGACTTCTACCAGATATATCGTACTTTCCAGTCCATGGTCACTACACAGTTTGGATCTACTATTAAAATGTTGTGGTCTGACTTGGGTGGGGAATACTTTAAAACTGAATTCTGTGAATATTTGGCCAACTTGGGTACCATTCACCAAACTTCTTGTACTGATACACTTGCCCAAAATGGCCGAGCTGAGCGTAAACACCGTCATTTTCTTGAGACAGCTAGGTCTCTTCTTCTCTCTGCCTCCGTTCCAGTTTCGTTTTGGGGTGAGGCAGTTCTTACTGCTACTTTTCTTCTCAACCGTATGCCTACCCCCCTTCTTTCTGGTCGGTCTCCTTATGAGGCTCTCTTTCTCAACTTCCTAATTACTCCCTCCTTCGTGTGTTTGGGTCTGCGTGTTTTGTCCTTTTACCCCGTAAAGATAGGACTAAACTTAGTGCCCGGTCTGTCCTATGTGTTTTTTTGGGATATAGTCTCACTCAGAGGTTATCGCTGTTATGACCCTGTTTCTCGTCGCCTTTATGTCTCCCGCCATGTTGCCTTTCTCGAACGTCTATCTTGCTTTCAGCTTCCTCCTCTCACCACCCCAGTTTCCAAAGAGGATTTGGTTCATATTGATCCATTTCCTTCTGAGGTCCCATCTGATGAGTACATCTCCACAGTACATCTCCACAGTTCCTCCTGAGCTTATTCCATCTTCTCCTCCTGCTTCACCTCTGACTACTTCTCCTTCTTCGCCTTCTCCTCCTTCTTCTCCTCCGTTGTTAGTTTATTCTCGCCGCAAGGCTCCTCCTCTACCAGTTGTCTCTACCCCTGCTGCTGATCCTCCTGCTTCTGACGACTCTGATCCTGCTGCACACCGATATCCTCCTCGAGCGCGTCATCCTCCAAAAAGGTTAGGTTGGTCTAATACTTGTTTTTCTGCTTCCTATCGTACCTTTTTGTCTGCTATTCACTCTTTTGCAGAACCTCGGTCTTACAAGGAGGCCTGTCAGGATCCTCATTGGGTTCAAGCTATGGAGGATGAGTTGTTTGTTCTACAGAAAACTAGTACTTGGGAGTTGGTTCCTTTACCTGTTGATAAAAATCTGGTTGGTTGCAAATGGGTCTACAAAGTCAAGACTCATTCTGATGGTTCTCTTGAGCGCTACAAAGCTCGTCTGGTGGCCAAAGGTTTCTCCCAAGAGTATGGTATTGATTATGAGGAGACATTTGCTCCTGTTGCCAAGATGACTACTGTCCGTACTTTGATTTCTGTCGCTGTCTGTGCGCTGTCGTTCTTGGCTTTCTTTATCAGATGGATGTTAAGAATGCTTTTCTTAATGGCCATCTCACTGAGGAGGTTTACATGCGTCCCCTCCCTCTAGTCTTCACCATTCCTCTGGCCAAGTCTTGTCGTCTTCGGCGTGCTCTATATGGTTTGAAGCAGTCTCCTCGTGCTTGGTATGATCGCTTTCAGACTGCTGTTACCGAGCTTGGGTTTCATCGTTCTGCTTCCGACTCTGCTTTATTTCTAAGACATAGGTTTTGTTGCTCTCTTACTATATGTAGATGATATGATCATCACTGGCTCTGACTCTTCTGCTATCTCTGAGGTCAAGCAGCATCTCTTTCGCACCTTCGAAATGAAGGATCTGGGACCATTGCGGTATTTTCTTGGCATTGAGGTGGCTTCTTCTCCTAAGGGTTATTTTTTGTCCCAGGCTAAGTATGCTAACGAGGTTATCCATCGTGCCAGACTTACTGACACTAAGCTGTCTGATACCCCCATTGAACTTAATGTAAAGCTCAACACTACTGATGGGGTTCCTCTAGATGATCCTACGTTATATCGCGAGCTTGTGGGTTGCTTAGTCTATCTGATAGTTACTCGTTCTGATCTTGCCTATGCTGTCCATGTGATTAGTCAGTTTGTTTTTGCCCCTCGCTCTACACATTGGGCTGCTTTGCTTCGGATTCTTCGCTATCTTCGCAGTACTATCTTTCAGGGCTTGCTGTTCTCTTCTACTTCTTCCTTAGACTTGGTGGCTTATGCTGATGCTGATTAGGCTGGTGATGTTAATGATCGTAAATCTACTTCTGGTTTCTGTATGTTTCTTGGTGATTCCCTTATTTCTTGGAAAAGCAAGCAACAGACTGTTGTTGCCTATTCTACTGAAGAAACTGAGTATCGTGCTCTGGCTCATGCTACTGCTGAAATTGTCTGGCTTCGTCAGCTCTTATCTGAGTTGGGCGTCCCTCAATCTTCCCCGACCTCTCTCTATTGTGACAACCGAAGTGCTATTCAAATTGCTCATAACACTGTCTTCCATGAACGGACAAAACATATTGAGATTGATTGTCACTTCGTCCCTCAGCATCTGTAGTCTGGCTTTATCTCGCTTCCTTTTGTCTCTTCGGCTCTGCAACTTGCTGACTTCTTCACTAAGACTCACACCACTGCTCGGTTTCGGTTCTTTCTTGACAAACTCGCAATGTTTTCTGCTAAAACACCTTGAGTTTGAGCGGGGGTGTGAGAATATGTGTTCTCATAGGATTAGGAATATGTGTTCTCCTAGGATTAGGAATAAGTGTCCTATATCTATTAGACTTCTATATATCTCAGTAATGTATTCATGTAGGATTAGGAATTAGTGGTACTCTATATAAATGATGTATGTATTCTTTGTTCAATTGAATTCAATCTAATATACAATTTTGTTTAGAAAACTTACACCAAGTAGGGTTGGGTTTTTGAACTCAAAATTCAGCTTGATATTATTCTGGCACTGAAATGTTGGTACTGTTTGGTATAATAATTATTTACTATGAGATCAAATACTTTGACCTTTGTTCACACTTTACCGAGTAGGGTTGGATTTATGCTATTTCTTTTTATTCAACTTGGCAGAAGTCTCAGAAATTGCAGCTTGCATGGAGCTCTACCTGATCTCAGCAGGATTCCAACACTTAGTTATTTGTAAGTTGGAGTGTTCAACTCCATGAGGGTTCTCTAATATTTACCTTTCCTTAGGCTCCACTTACTTTTTCACTGTAGTGTATTTATTTCCTTTAAGCTTTTGGGCTGATAATTGCTGTACTACGAATTGGGCCACTGTTATAGAGATCTCAGTCAGAATCAGCTCATTGGATCCATACCATCAAATCAGCTTTCTACAAGTATGACAACAATGTATGTAACAGGCTGGTCATTTCTTACCTATACAAATTTCTATATACACCTTTCCTTGGGTTGAGGGTTGCCTTTTCTGGGCTTTGCTTTTTTAAGTGAATTATCAAAGTCACACGCAAAATTTCTAGATTCATATCAATAGTCAACTTGGGCAAATTGTGATGTAAGAATTTTAATGATAGGATATTCATGATTACCAACATGTCTTGTGCAGCAACCTGTCAAATAACCAACTTAATGGATCCATTCCAGAAAGTTTGTCAAATCTCCCTTCTCTGCAGAAACTGTGAGGATCTTCATACTTCTTTTCTTTGGTTTTTCGTTTCCTATTACAAAATCAATGTAATGGTAATCCTTATGTAGGAAATATGTGCGGTTTAAACTTAATCAATATTGATAAAAATTAGTATTTTCTTTTTGGTGGAACCTTTTTCAAATTAAGGATTCTAGTGGACTATATTTTGGAATACTCTTCTCATGCATACTTGATGACAGATTTGAATGATTGTTTATTACAGGTCACTTGAGAATAATTTTTTGACTGGTCCTATCCCTGCTAGTATTTGGCAGAACATGTCCTTCAGTGCTAAGGCTAGACTTTTACTGTAAGAGCTTGAAGCATAAAACTAGTGTCACTCTTTGGAATGAAATAACATTAATTTTATAAATGAACTTCCTATATATTACTCTGGCTCTATGTGAAAGCTGTGTCTAGCTAATTTTCCCTTCCATGTACTTGACAATTGCAGTGATCTTCGGAATAATTCACTTTCAAACATTTTAGGAGTTCTGAATCCTCCAGAAAATGTTACCCTTAGGTATGTTTTTTTTATCTCCTATAAATCCTGCATATTCTATGTAATTCAATGACTAGATTTAACTAAACCTAATATATTCTTCCAATAGTGCTCAAATACGAGTGAAGTGCATTTTATGTTAAACTTTTCACTGCATAAAGAAAATCAAGTTGTCTTATGCTCCCGCTTTCTGATAGTATTTCAGTAAGTGTTTTTTTAACCAAGAAGGCTGATGGTCTTTAATCTAATCGATTTTACATACCATTAGATTTACGTCATTTCACAGTAAGTGAAACACACGTTGACATGATCCATTAGGGGTGCATAATTTGATTTCAATGATACTGTTGTTTAATGTGAATTTTTGTGCCCAGTGGAGATGAATGAAAGAAACGTGCAAAAGGACAGAATCAGAATATAAGAAGTTCATTTGAACACCAGTAAAAGGAAGAGATGCAGAAAGTTAACAGCGATAAGATAAAAGAGTAGAATAAAAATTTCAATTATTTTCCTTTATTTGTTTTGGCAGGCAGCAGGGAGAGAAAAGTAGAAGAAAATATTTCACCCTTTATGACATGCTTATACTTCTGCTGATATAGGGCATCCCAACATTAATCATAAGCTCTCCATCCCCAAGTCCGTCCTCATTTGAGAGGAAAACATTGTGGGAAAAATAGAAAAGTGTTTAAAACGTTTTCACCATTTTCATTTCATTTTCCTTGTTTGCACTTGTCCTGGATAAATCACACAGCAATAATAGGTATAATTTCCATTTTTCTTTTCTTATCCCACCCCCAAAAAAAAAAATCCATTTATTTTCATCAAAAAAAAAAAAAAAATCCATTTCTTTTCCTCTTTCACCCAAATGTAGTGGAAGTGTTCTAAGGGATTGATGCATAAATGTAACTGCGACATTTCATTGTACACTTAAAACACTCTAGTATATTCCATGAGCATCAAGAGTCCATGTGCATTTAACTCTATTTTCCATGAGCATCAAGAGTCCATGTAAAGAAGCTTACCATTAAGTTTTGATTTCTGATGTCGAAATGGATGTCGACAGTTCCATGTACAGTATTGTTGATTGATTTATGAATTTTTAGAAAATAATATAGAATTAGCAAAGAATGGGAAAAAATGCATATAGCAAGTGGAGTTTCAAACTGCGGAAAGTATTAGTTTTAGATTGTTGTCATGTAATCTGCGTCTCAATATGTACATATTTGTGATGACTATTTCATTATCACCCATAAAAAACCACTAAACTATAAGAGCAGATAAATTGCTGTTAAAACGTGTATGGAACATGATATCTAAAATTTGTTGCACATTCAGGTTTGCCAAGGAAACCCGGTATGCAGTACACTGGTCATGACTATCTGTTGTAGATCTGATTGTTGTTTGTTTAACCACAACAAACAATCTATTGTGGTATGAATCTTTAGCATTTTAGTTCAAATGGAGTTGAGCTCCCAATTAGCAGTCTAAAAGGATTGATGCAAGAGAGGAGTGCCCTTTTTATATTGACTCTTTTGTACAGCTCATTGGTAATCTATATATGCCTCTTGATGTATAGCTTTTAGCTTGATTTTTGTGTACACCTTCTCTTCATTTTATTTGTGGTTCTAGTAATAATCAAATAGCAGATGTAAACATTATTGTACTTATTGCTAGGTTTCTTGTGCCTTCTCTGTGCTTATCATTTTAGCAGCTGTTCTTCAGGCTACAAGGCAATCCTATCTGCAGCTTTGCAAACATAAGAAATATAGACCAATTCTGTGGACCCGGGGCTGGAGGGGATGATATTCCTATGAAGTCAACAAATTCAACTGTGACTTGTCCTATTCATGCATGTCCCATAGATGATAACTTTGAATATATCCCTGCATCTCCACTGCCATGCTTTTGTGCATCACCCATTAGAATTGAGTATCGGCTGAAGAGTCCTAGTTTCTCTTATTTCCCTCCATATGTTTATCCATTTGAGATGTACATGACAAGTTCTCTTAACTTGGACCTTTATCAACTATCTATTGAATCGGTTATTTGGGAAAAAGGACCTCGTCTGAGGATGTATTTGAAGCTTTTCCCAACGGTCAGTAATGGTCACTCAAGCACTTTCAATATAAGTGAGATTCTCCGAATTAGAGGCATATTCACATCATGGGAATTTCCTAGTACTGACTTGTTTGGGCCTTATGAGCTTCTCAGCTTCACTCTTCTGGGACCATATTCATATGGTAAGCACTCAAACCGACATCTTTTTCTAAGTTGAATTGAAGTTTTGAGAACCAATGATTCTGAAAATCATATATGTTTATGGCCTTTACAATATTCAGTATGATTTATACTGTGTTTGATTAGGGGATTTAAGGAGGGATTTGGAAAAGGAAATAGAAAAGGTAGGTGAAATGTGAATAAAATATATCTACATTTCACCTAGTTTCACACACCTTTTCCCTTTCTCTTTCTAATTCCATCCCAAATCCCCCTGTTGGATATATTCATCACCTCATATGAGATGATCATGGAGCACCCACTTTGGAGAGAGTGGGGGTGGCTCACCAACTCCAACCCTCTCTAGTGGGTTGGTGGCAACCAATGAGGTTCTCCCTTATTTGTGTATAAATGGAGGAGGTGTTGGATAGGCAAGATAGAGTGTAAACCAACCAAGAGAGTGAGAGATGTGAGGTAGAGAAACCGTCTCTCTCGGTGTGAGCGAGGGAGACGGGTGGATGGGTGAGTGAGAATAGTGTGAGCTTTTCCTCTATTGTAATCTTTTTGTAATCTCTCCATTATTATAGTGATAAACGGTTACTCTCCCGTGGGCGTAGGCATTATGGCTAAACCACGTTAAATATGGTGTCTCCTTCTATGTGGGTGTGTTTTTCTGCTTTGTATGATTTCTACAAGATCTTGGGCAGGATCCCCGATCCCCAACAAGTGGTATCAGAGCCTCGTCGGTCGTTTTCGGAACAAAAACAGTGTGATTTTCGAAACTGATCAGAAATCAAATTGCTGGAAATCAGATTTTGAGCATACCAAAAGCAAGGTCTCGACGCGAGGAGTCCAGAAATGCAAAGAAGAGCCTCAAAGGAGCCTGGACGCACCGCCACGCGCCACCTGAAATTTGCACGTGAGGCTCACTCCCCGCACGCGCCCCCACCCGCTGTTTGATGAACCGGCGCGTCATTCCAACCGCGTCCACGCGACACACGCACGGCAGAGGAAGAAGACGAGACACGTGGCGCCACGTCATCGATACGTCAGCACCACGTCAGCCAGGGGGCGGCCACATGTCTACCACGTCATCAGGCCAGCCACACCCACGTGGCAGTCCAGTCAGTGCCACGTCATCTGCCACGTCAGCACAAGGAGAAGTGATCCAGTGCAACGCGGCTAAGGTGCAGCCGCAGAAGGTGGGATCCAGTGCTACGCGGCTAAGGTACAGCCGCAAATCTGGGGCGTCCAAACAGTTTTGGCTTGTTTTGAGCCATTCGGAGTCCGTTGTTGACGATCTAATAGTGCTTTCCAACTATTTGGAGTATTCCGGACACATCCATACAGTTAGATTTTTTAATCGAAGTTTTCTGTAAAAAGAATATCAAAGTGGCAGACGGCGTCAGGTGCAGTGGACGAAATATTCTATTGAAACAGAATATGCCTTGAACTTTTGCAATTGCAATTTGGCCCCTGTAGTTTGTGAAATTACAGTTTGGTCCCGAGTGTTTGGAAAATTTGCAATTTTGCCCAGTTTTGAGGAAATTGTTTCAGTGAAGTCTCTAGAAGTGCAGCGAAGGTTGGTCCTAGCTAATCGGACCGTTCCGGACGCAACCGCGAGGTCAGAATGGTGAAATTCTGAACGATTTTTAAAGATTGTCAAAACATGGGAGTTTGTCATCTTTAATAGCCGAAGGAAGGTTGCCGGATATTGTGGAACGCTGTGGATTCACTGAAGATGTTAGAATGGGCAGATTCTGACCAGATTGGACAACCAGATACAGATCGAGATAGATCATTGAAGACTAAAGGAGATCAGGCTCGATCAAATGGCAAATCAAGGGAGATCAGGATTGGTCAGGGCGCAATCAGGAGAATTGCAAATGATTATCTCAAGATCAACAATGTCTAGGAACGTTCTGTCAAAAAGACACTGTTTAAGGAGATTGATTCTTAAGTGGGACCAGTTGTGACCCCATCAGTCTTTCCTGGGAACTTTCTTGGTTGTTAAGGTAATCGGAAGATCTGGTTCAATCGAAAGAAGACCATTTCATCAGGAGATAGATGATTGGCAACTAGTACAGGCTCAGGGGAATGTTGTGGCAGTTGGAGCTACTGTCAAACATAATACAAGAAGTACTGGTAGTATGAGAACATGGAAGGGCAATGGCTGCAATTGTGCACACATAAGGTGTAGGAGCACGTAGCCACAATAGCACAGATGAGTACGCAGAAATGTCATACAAGGTGCAAGCGTACAACAGTGCAAGAGTACATAGTAGAGTCATACAAAGGTGCAGTGTGCCGGATTTTGGCCTGACAACAGCAACTAGTTCATAGAAGAAAGCTCCAGATAGAGAAATTGAAAGGGATAAGACGCTACAGTGCGCACCCAATGAGAGGCAGATTTTTTCTTTGTCCTGAATCTGGTTCGTGGCAGTGAAGTCGCGACGGGCACCCAGAGAGTTTGGGTGGAGTCACCTCAACAAGGAAAGTATAAGGTGCGAGCCATACAAAATGATGTGTGGCGGTTGAAGACATTCCAAGTAGGAGGTGCATATTCACTTCGGATGCTCGGTGGAATGGAGGCATATTTGTACAACGGTGTTTTATCATCCATGTGGGTGATGGGGTTGAAAAATTTTGTTCACCCGGTTGAAGCCAATTGAAGACCCTTCGGAGTCAGTTGCAGAAGTTATCAGTTCATTTGAGGACTCTCGGGTTAGTTGCAGAACTTCAGAGTTCATTGGGTTATTCTCTCGGGGATAGAGAGAACAAGCATTGGCGGAGTGTACTACGGAGATTTGGCATATGTAATAAGTCCAAATAGTAGTACTTTATTGGCATTGGCCTCTGTGGAGGCGTTAAAGATCCTTCATGGATCGTTGTTGGAAGACTCGCATCTGGTGAAGCCTTGGTTTCCGCATTTGTCGATTTAAAGAAGGTGTGACAATCTACTCCAGATCTTGGTGGAGCTTTGGCATTTTTGTTCAATGTCTATTGGAGGCATTGTTGTTAGTGGTCTTTCACGGATTATTAGCGATTTTCAGAGTCGTGGTTTATTGAGATTCATTATCACAGTTGGGATCTATGATTGTGTCTGATTAGATCCAGAGGTGTCTCCGGTTTGTGGGACTTGATTATTTCTTCTTCTTGTGGATTTTCATTTTCGCAATTTGTTCCATATTCAAAGACATCAGCTATTGGTAGTCTGGGTGACGATTCAGACTCTGGGTATTTGCTTCTCTGGAAGCGGTCTGATCGTTGGTGTTCATTGAAGATTGGAATAGATTGTTGCGAAGAAACGTGAAGATGGTGATTTTGTGAATCTCATGTGTTGGGATCCATCCCTTAATCTGCCGTTGGATTTGGAGGGGATAGATCGTTTGCAGACTCGGTGGAGTCAGCAGGGACTGTTGGAGTTGTGCATCTACAATGCACGCGCCTTTTGGGCGATTTTTTGGTAGCTGTGAAGATGGTGCATCATCTTGTGTTTGCCGGTTGGAATGGCAGTTGGAGGAATCTGGAGTTTGCTCGACACTTCAAAACTTTTTTGGCTCTTGGTATTTTGTAAGTTCATTTGAAGTTTGTTCCAATACTTCTGAACTAGTTAGAGCCTAACTGCATCCACAGTCCAGTTTTGTTTGGTGGAGAACTTGCCTCAGTTTTCGGAGAATTTGTTTGGCTCTTTTGATTAATTCGAGCTTGAAGAGAGCAGTATTGTGTTCGATGGTTGATCGGACATGATGTTTTTGGTACTGCTTTTGAAGTTGCTTTGACGGAGAATTTGAAGCCTCTCTTGTTTAGTCTCCTCAGCATTGGTTCAAGCAGGTTGCTCACCATGTTTTGTTTGGAGTTGTCAAGGACAACTTGTTTGGCGCCTATGGAAATCGAAACTTGGCACTATGGTGGAGCTTGAGTTACAGAAAATCGAAGAGCTAACTCGATTGGTTCTGCATGTTCTTTACATTGGCTCAATGTGATTTTGAGCAATGGAATTTGCTATGTTTTTGGAAAAGCGCTTGTGTTTTGTACAGCAGATGGCATTCAATTTTGACTGAATGGTTGGATACCTGGGTTATGGTATCGGTTTTTTGATTTTGTGGCGGCGAACGCACCTCTTAATGAAACAGAGTAGTTGCGGATCTCTCAGGCAAGCTCGAGCGCAAGAGGAAAGATGGAGCCACGATGAGCACTCAAGAAGTATGGGTGCGGGTACTATGCTAGGTGTTGCATAGTTGGTGACTTGTACAAATCTGTTGAAGTTGCTTTGGAAGAAAGAGCTGCTATCAACTATCATCTGGTAGTACAAGTGATAGATACGCAGGTAACATGTATCGTTGAACTGGAGATCAGGGATTGCAAAAGGTATGAACAACAAGTGTGTGGAAACGCTGGGAAGTTGTTCAGGAGCGCAAAGGGAAAATGCTGATAAGTTCAAGATAGTTTAGAGGAAACTCCAAGCAAAGTAAACCAGGAACGTTGACCAGACAAATGAAGAGCTTTCTGTTGCTCCAGTTTGGGCTATGTAAAGAGATACATGGCAGGGATAGTGGCATTTCAGAGAAGAGCTGTAGTGTCACAGAGCACACAAAGGAGTGCAAGGCATCCCGGGCAGGGGGTGCTGGGCATCTCAATCAGGGGGTGCAGGACATCCAATCAGGGGGTGTCAGATATCTTGGTTACGCAAGTTCAAGCATAGCAGGTGAAGACATCCGAGATAAGAAGCGTGGAAGAGATCTGTGGGAGATAGGAGCAGAGGCTCTCTCCAAATCAAAGAGTGGTGTGAGTTGAGTTGAGGATGTAGGATTCCCTTCTCCTCTTGTATCTCTGGTGTATTATCTCTAGCTTCAGGGGGATGCAGCGTCTCAGTGAGGAGATGAAGATTCTGTTGGTTTTTTGGGCGTGACCGAGTGTGACAAGATTAGCAGCAGTGTGTGCAGTGGATCACCTCACATGGGTTGAGGGGGTGATTTGTTGGATATATTCATCACCCCATATGAGATGATCATGGAGCACCCACTTTGGAGAGAGTGGGGGTGGCTCACCAACTCCAACCCACTAGAGTGGAAGAAGGTAGGTGGCAACCAATGAGGTTCTCCCTCATTTGTGTATAAATGGAGGAGGTGTTGGATAGGCAAGGTAGAGTGTAAACCAACCAAGAGAGTGAGAGATGTGAGGTAGAGAAACCGTCTCTCTCGGTGTGAGTGAGGGAGACGGGTGGATGGGTGAGTGAGAATAGTGTGAGTTTCTCCTCTATTGTAATCTTTCTGTAATCTCTCCATTGCTATAATGATAAACGGTTACTCTCCCGTAGACGTAGGCATTATGGCCGAACCACGTTAAATATGGTGTCTCCTTCTGTGTGGGTGTGTTTTTCTACTTGGTATGATTTCTACAAGATCTTGGGCGGGATCCCCGATCCCCAACACCCCCAACCAAACACAGCATTAGTGGAACTTTGTCCTTAGAAGCAGCTGGTTGTTGGAAGAGGGTTCCAGCTGCCACCCCAAATAGTTGTGTTCTATACCTTTCCTGAGTTGTTTGTACGTACATATGCAGATGTTTACATTAATCACTACGGGAAAAAAGTAGAGAGCAATACAAAGCAAACTTTTATTCGTATTTATATTTATTTTCCTGGGAATTGTACCCTCATATGAATTGTTATTGTTGTAGTGAATTTTGAAACTGGTGGGAAAACTATAAGCAAGGGCATTTTGATAGCCATTGTTTTAGCAGTTGTTGCCTGTGCTGTCACAACCTCTACAGTAGTCACATTTTTTGCTGTCAGAAGACATTCTAGAAACCAGCATACCATTTCAAGAAATAATTTATGTGAGTTGTTTTATATAAATACTGAAAGTTAATTCTCTTTATCAATTTTATCATGTATGAGAATTACAAAGGAGAGCCACTCCGTTATAATCTTTGCAGCCTCAAAGATGTCTATAAAAATTGATGGCGTTAAAAGCTTCACCCTTGAAGAAATGGCATTGGCAGCTGACAATTTCAATAGCTCAAGTCAAGTTGGCCAAGGAGGTTATGGGGAGGTTTATAGAGGAATTTTATCTGATAACACAGTTGTGGCCATAAAGCGTGCAAAAGAAGGGTCTTTTCAGGGGAAAAAGGAATTCTTGACAGAGATAGAAATGTTGTCAAGGTTACATCATCGAAATCTAGTTTCATTGGTTGGCTACTGTGGTGAAGAAGGAGAACAGGTATGTTATGTTGGGAAGTTTTTCAACTGAATATGAAAGAAACAGTTCACATGTGAATCCAACGTTGAGATATGAAAGATACATTCATATCCCAATATTGGAAGTTTCTGGTAAACTGAATATCAACTGTATACAAAAGAACATTTCACATGCAAATTCCATTCAATGTGTCTAAATGTCTATCTTGATTTTTCAAGCAAGTTTCAAACTTCCTATGCGTTTAGGCATTTTAATTTTGTTTATGTAGATGATATCCTTTCCTTGTATACTTGGTACGTTTGTGTTATGTCGAGCTTACTAGTATCTTATGCACACTTCAAGACTGAAGGTGTTTATGCTGCTGTTGTCCAATCAACGGATGGACGTGATGTAGTTCAGTGTTTAGATGTGTGAGGTCAATTCCAGTGTAGAAACTTATTCATCTGATTATGTTCTTGGTGCATGTGCACAGATGCTGGTTTATGAGTTCATGCCTAATGGCACATTGAAAGATTGGCTTTCTGGTAAGTTTGTTTTTCAAAATTTATCATTTCTTGATTCTGTGTATGGTTAAATTTCTATACTTTTTTTTCTCCTTTCCCCACTGAAGGTTCAAGGTACTGTTCCGGTCTTCAAGAAGATTTTGGCTTCTTCTTCTTCTTCTTCTTCTTTTTTTTTTTTTTTTTTTTTTTCAGAATGGGCTCTGACCCGTCTGAATGCTTTTTTTTTTTTGTGTTTTAGCATTAGATTGGAATGACCATGATGTGTAGATGGAAAAGAATTTTATTGATGTCTTTGGCCAGTCTGATTTGCATCAACCTATTATTCTTCGGGAGAACCCTGTAGCTTAGTGGTTTTGGATCCATTTGACCCTTGTTATGCATCTATTCTTATCTTCTCATCATTTTCTAGAATGTCAAGTGGCCAATAAATTTAAAAATTCAACTGAACATTAGTGAGGGCTCCGCAACTACTGACAAACCAACATCAAAGCAAAGTGTTAAAAATACCCCCAAAAATAAAGGCCTTGTTTGGTTTGTTTTTCAGAAAAAAATTTGGGAAAAATTCTTTACAAATAAATTTTTAAGAATAATCAAACCAAACAAATTTTTTCAAAAAAAATCTCAAAATTTTGTTTGGTTACCTACTTTCCAAAATCACTCTCTCTCTCATGCACATCAAATCAATCACTTTTTTTAAAACTCTCTCCTCAAGACAATTTTTCAAAACCATTTCTACAAAAAAGCAAACCAAACCAGGTTTCGTACTTTTGATCTCAAAAACTACTCTACAAACATAAACCAAACACACCCTACTTTATACTCTGCCTGTTGTTGCCAGTAGATAATTCCAGTTTTCTTTCACTGAGAAGTTTTCTATTTCATCCAATTTGCATCAACAATTTTGTGCGTTCAAATTTCATGTGTTCTACATCTTTGTTGAGAAGTTCTCCCTAAGCTCTAATTGATGGTTTTTGGATTTCAACAGCTAAATCTAAGGAAACTTTGAATTTTGGTGTGAGGTTACAAATTGCATTGGGTTCAGCCAAGGGCATCCTTTATCTCCATACTGAAGCTCATCCACCTATATTCCATCGAGATATCAAGGCCAGCAACATATTGCTGGACTCCAAATTTTCTGCTAAAGTCTCTGATTTTGGACTTTCACGACTTGCACCACCTCTGGACGATGAAGCGAATGTGCCTAATCATGTATCCACAATTGTGAGGGGAACACCGGTAAGTCTAACTCTGCTAACACTATTGAAGTTTATAAAATGAGGAAACTATATTCACGTGCATATGTATACATCTTCATACTAACTTGCTTTGTAATTTTCTTAGGTTCTAATTAAATATCAATGTGAAAAGTGAAAGATGTAGAGTTCTTTTTTTTTTTTCTTTTTTTTTTGCCATGAAGATGTGAATGTTATGAAAGATCATTGGTTGTTATTCTTTGCACGTTATCTTCATGAAATCTCAAGAGAAATATATATTGCTTCTTGTTGATGATACAAATAAGAATGTGGTAATTTGTATGATCATGTCTCCTCCTGACAGTCCATTTTAAGGTTAAATGTAATTTTAGAGTCCTTAAACTAGTTCTTAACTGTATTCTAGTCATAGAAGTTATTTACAGTATTTGTTTATTTATTCATTTATGAAACACCATCAGAGACAGAATAAAGGTTATATAATTGGTAGGACTTTCCTGTTTATTTGCTATCTAACTTTTCTAGTACTGTCAAATGTCTCGAGGTTCAATTGTTTCTGTTCTCAAAAAACTCTCTTATGGCGGCATATATTTGCAGGGTTACCTTGATCCTGAATATCTCTTGACCCATAAATTGACAGACAAAAGTGATGTTTATAGCCTTGGTGTTGTATTTCTGGAGATATTGACAGGAATGCAACCAATATCACATGGCAAAAACATTGTCCGCGAGGTAGTTCCTCTGACTATATGTTACACTTTTTATAAGTTATCTTCTCTCTTGTCTGCTTACGGGTATCAAGCATAGCAGGTGTATAACTGATACAACTCTGCTCTCCCTCCTGAGAGTTGAAATCATTTTTTTTCTCATGATTTTTCAATTAGATGTTGTGTATAAAACAACAAAATTTATGCTGCCAGAAAGATTAGTACAATTTACTTCATGTCAAGTTCTGCTAAATGAGCCTTAGCAGTAATTGTGTTTCTTGAAAACATTACCTTACCTTCATTTGGAATCTTTGAATTCAGGTGAATTTGGCACATCGATCAGGCACAATGTTCTCAATGATAGACAGCAGAATGGGCTCTTACCCGTCTGAATGCGTGGAGAGGTTTGTAGATTTGGCACTGAGATGTTGCCAGGACAATCCAGAAGAACGGCCTTCAATGTTGGATGTGGTCAGGGAGCTGGAAAACGTACTGCGAACGATGCCAGAAACAGGACTGAACACATCAGAATCAACATCAATATATTTTGGTGAATCTACTCCATCGTCTTCGTTGCCCTTTGTAAGCAGGGATCCATATGTATGGTCAAATGATCTTATCAGTGGTGTCATGCCCACCATCACACCTCGCTGAATTGCCTGGAAAATTTAAAAAGACGTAAAGGAATTATCGAAATCTGTATTTTGTGAATGAAAACCGCATTCTATTATTGTTATTTTGCTGTTTAAATTGTGAGGGGAAGAAAATTTGATGTACATTATTTGTTTAGGATTTCAAAATGTAATACAAGTTTGTTATTGTAGAAGCTTGTCTTTACATTCATTTTTGTCACAACTCATACGGCAGTGAACAAAGGCGCAAGGTTTTCTAATTCAACTTATGGAGGATGAGATTTAAGTAGTTTTCAAATTTTGTTTGACGAAAATAAACACAAAAAAGATAATTTAAGTAGTTTTCAAATTTTGTTTGACGAAAATAAACACAAAAAAGATAATTCTAAATTTTCAATAATTAGTTACCTTTCAAAAAAAAGAAAAAATCATATGAAAATTATGATTTTTTTTTTATTTTTTTCATTTTATTTGGCAATTAGATTAAAAATCAGCTTTTAATTTTTTAATTTTTATAAGCCACATCGCCTCTCTATTTTTTAATATGTTTTTTTATAAAAAAAAAAATTAAAAATTGACTTTTTAACATACTTTTCATTCAAAATAGGCCAATTAAGCTTTATCAGCTTGAAGCATTATTCAGTGTGTTTGGTTTGAGTTTTCTGGATTAAATTTTTTGAAAATTGAGTTTTTTGGTTTTCGTATTCTTTTGTTTTTAGTGTATATTTTTTAAATTTTAAACATTTTTTTTTTACTTTTTTAGATGCACCTTAGTTTGATGTATTTAAAAAGTAAAAAATTTGTGAAAAAAATATTTTAAAAAATTAATAAATACATAAAAATATAAAAAATGTACTGAATTTTTGTATTTTTTTTAATTTTTGGTATTTAGTGAATTTTTAAAAGATTTTTTTTTACAATTTTTTTACTTTTTAGGTGTATTTATGTTAGGTGTATCTAAAAAGTAAAAAATTGCTTAAAATATTAAAAAAATTCAGTAAAAACAAAAAAACACGGAACATAAGAATGTAAAAATTTTCTGAAAAGTATTTTCTGAAAAATGAAAACAAGCAAGCTTATTATTATTTTTTTTTCTAAAAAGCAAAGTTTAAAAGACGCGCCAAACTTTTCCCATATAAAAAAATAATAAAAAATTTAGAACCTATTTGGTAACCATTTCGTTTTCAGTTTATATTTACAAAAATTTTAAAAATTGTCATAAAAACTTGTTTGATAATTTTTTTGGTTTATAAATAGTTGTCTCAGTTTGTAAATTTACGGAAAAAATGTAAACTCAAAAAATGAATTTACGTTGATTTTTAAACAAAAATTTAAAATTTTGACTAACAATTTTTTTTTCTAATAATTTTTTGTTAATTTTTTTTTCAAGGGAGATTTGGTCATAACCCCCTCACTATCTAATTTCTCTTTCAAAATGACAAGAATTATATAAGTACTTTCAAAACCTCCTGATATTTTAAAACTTGTTTCTTTTACTATATTACCCTCATATCTATCACCTCTCCTATTAAGACATTTTCACTATGTATTTCAGAGTAAAATTTTACTCTGTATGAAAGTAAAATTTTACTATGAATGAGAGTAAAATTTTACACTCTGAAACTAAAAGTAAAATTTTATTATGTATAAAAGTAAAATTTTACTCTGAAAAATAAATAAATTGTAAGACTCTGAAGCTAAAAGTAAAATTTTACTCTGTATAAAAGTAAAATTTTACTCTGGTTCTGTCAAATGAAAAAAACAGAGCAATAGAACCAGAGTAAAATTTTACTCTGGTTCTATCAAATGAAATTTGATATTTACTCTGAAAAATTGATGGAATTTTGAGCTTTGAGCTTTGAATCAGGCCTATAATCCTTGAATCAATCGATGTTTACTTTGAAAAACATTGAATCATGCCTATAATCCTTGAATCAGACTCATAATCTTAAAATTTTAGAGAAATCTCAATTTTTCATACCCCGATTCTTCAGATTTTACAGATTTTTCAGATTTTTAAAACTTTGAGCTTTCAAAAATCTATATATTCGAATTCAAATCTCAAAACACACAAACACACACATATATATAGATATATATATATATATATGTATCAGTGCGATTTGCAAGTTCTCCACAGCTCCGGCCATGGAGGAAGCTAGGATTAGAAGAGAGAGACGAGATAGAAGATGAACAGTTGAAGGAGAGTTGAGAAGATGCAGAGAGAGATCGTCGGAGCTTAGAAATGACACAGCTCCGGCCATGGAGGAAGCTAGGGTTAGAAGTGAGAGACGAGAAAGAAGATAAATTTTGTATCTGGATTGTGTATATGTGAGGGTATAATAGTCTGATAAAATATTTAAATAATAAATTTTGCCCTTTATGCAAGATTTTATAATTATGAGGGGGTTTAGAAAGTATAATTTTTTTCTTAGTCCTTCTAACAATGAAAGAAAGGTAAAGGGGGTTTATAGCCAAATTTTCCTTTTTCGAATTATAATGTGTATGATCTCATTGTCATAAATAATAAAAAAATAAATATAAATATTTTAGGCCTGAACAAACATATTTTTTAGTTTATGTTTTTAAAAATTTTCAAACATTTTGTTCAAACCAAAAGTATTTATAGTTTATATTTTTTTAAAAATAAAAACCAATTTATAAAATTTTTGTAAACATAAACCAAAGATGTAAACGTTACCAAATGCTAGTAATTGCTCAACATGGCATTTTTTTTAGCATTAAGTTAAAAACAAAAAACAAAATAATAACTGAAAAAGAAAGTGCTAAACCAAATGTATTGTTGTTTGCATTTTTTATTTTACACACACATGATTAACCAAATAATTAGAATTTTTTTTGAAAAAAAGAAAAAAGAAAAAAGAAGCAAACAAAAAGAAAAATAACAAATAGGTCATCCCTCATCGTGCATTACAAGCATCCAAGACAAATAAATAAAATTTTATTGATGAGTATTGGAGAAATTATTGATGAATAACAAAGTATAAAATTATTACATTTGTAAGACATAGGCTTTCATTAAAAAAAACAATATAAATAAATAAATAAACAAACTTTCATTAGGTAATATAAAGTATTGATTTTTTGTTTATTATATTTTTTGGATTCAGCACTGCTGCTGCGTGGGCGTGGTGGCATTACTAAAAGCGGTTTTTCTAGTCAACAATTGAATTGAGAGAATACATACATACAAACGTACACACAGCTTGCTTTTCTTTGTTTGTTTGCAAAACAACGAGCGGATTACAGATAGAATTAGCTAGGTCTACATTTAATTAGGGTTTACTTTACGCGCTGTTTTGGTGGACCACGACGCGAGGCTACTACGACTCTGAATAATCCTATTCTTTCTTCTTTCTGTAAGTTGAGCTTTTCTCATTGCGAATTTCGATTCAAACTTTTCACCATTCCATTCTTTTCTCACTTTCCAATTCAATTGTGTTCCTTAATTCTAATTTCTGTCATCTTGTTTGTTTTTAATTTTTTAAAAAACACTTTTCAGAAAATTTTATTTTCTTATTTTTCTTATTTTTTTATTTTTATTGAATTTTTTTAATATTTTTAATATTTTTTTTACTTTTTAGACACACCTAACATAAAAACACTTAAAAAGTAAAAAAATTGTAAAAAAAATCTTTTAAAAATTCATTAAATACTAAAAATATAAAAAAAAATATAAGAATTCAGTACATTTTTTCTATTTTTATGTATTTATTAATTTTTTAAAATATTTTTTCACAAATTTTTTACTTTTTAGATAGATCTAAATAAGGTGCATCTAAAAAAATAAAAAAAAAATGTTTAAAATTTTAAAAATATTCACTAAAAACAACAAAACACGAAAACAAAAAAAAAGTCAATTTTCAAAAAACTTGATCCAGAAAACTCAAACCAAACACACTAATTAGTTTTTGTCCTTTGTGAACTATCCATTTTATTTCTGTATAGTTGCTGAATTCTTTGACACCTGGGTGGGGGTACGTGGATTTTATTGTTTGAAATCGATTTCTGATGGATTTAGCGTATTGCGAGGATTTATGACCCCCACTTTCACTTTGCGAAAAGCAACTTCTTTGATTTCTTTATTTGTGGCCATAGAAAATGCTTTTATGTTTCCTAATTACGGTTAGTAATTAGTTTGTGTAGTCTTAGTTGAATGTGAATTGGGATTTCAGAGACAATGCTGGCTGTCGATTAATCATGTGAGTTTTGGTAAAAGGAGAAGTCTTTGGGTTATTGAATTATGTGATATTGGAAGTGAAGCTATATATACTTGTTGTGAGATCTTTTTGCTTATGTAAGTTATATATTGTTTCGGTTTTGTCATCCTGCAGACATTGGTCCAACCCCGCTTCCAACTACATGTCGGTATCTGATTTTCTTGCTGATTCTTTTACTGGGATTTAATCAGAATGTGTTTACAGAGATTTAGTTGATCGTGTATGTGCATCGGACAAGCAAGTTAAAGTCGGTGTGGCTAAGATTGAGTTGAAGGCTTTGGAGCAACTTCTATTCTGGTTGATTCTGTGACTATTATTGGATGTTTCATCTGACATTCCTGAGTTGAGAAATAATTGTCTTTCAGCGTACATATAAACAAAAATGGATTTGAGATTTAAACAGGTCCTGTTATTTATGCTATTTCTTGTGGTTTTGAATGGTCATGCCACAGCAGAGTCAGAAACAGAGAGATTACCAAGGTTAAGAGCTGCTCCATTGAGGAATACAGGGGGTAGTGTTATAGACGGCGTAGGGACAGAGGATGTCCTTATATCTGATAGTGATACGAATGGACTGGATGAAAGGAAGGTTGGAAGTGGCAGAGTCTCAGGCCTCGTTTGGCAAGAGGTTATTTTAGCCAATTAGCCAAAAAGTTATTAAATTAGTCAAAAAGCTAACAACTCATACTAAAAAGTCAAAGATTCTCTTTTCTCTCTACTTTTTGCACATCTTTTCGTAATTAGCCAAAAAGTCATCCCAAACATATAAATTTTTTTACCTACCTTTTTAGCCAAATAGCTAAAAAGTTACTAAATTAGCCTGTTCCCAAACGAGGCCTTAGTGTCCACAGTTGCATTTCTCACGCTGGCAATGGCTGTTGCTACCGGTTTAGGTGCACTACAATTCTTCTTTGTGGAACTTGATCCCCAGTGGGCTGGAATATGCAATGGGATGGCTGCTGGGGTGATGTTGGCAGCAAGCTTTGACCTCATACAGAAAGGACAAGAGCATGGTTGTCACGACCCCATTCCGCCTCTAGTAGAATGTTGTCATGATGGCTAGTAATCCGAGATTACCAAAGGCCAACTTACAAAGATTCACACAATCAGAGTATATATATATATATATATATATGGGGCATACATGTGTGGAAATAATAAATTTAAATATAAATAGTCCATAAGAGCTGTGCATAAATCAAATGAAATGACATACATCATGACATCGTTTACAACTTGGATACAAATGAAATAAAGTACATATTACATCTTGATCAAAAGGTTTCTCAAGCCGAAACATACAAAAGATATGGATTACAAATTAAGAAGCATAATCTTCAAGATGCTAACAAAACATGAATCCAAAACAACTTGCAAATGACATCTAGACGTCACCGTCCTCTTGCTCGTCACCTACATATATATAAGGAGAGGGTGAGCTTGGATACTCAGTGAATGATATTAGTAGATTTAGTTGATCGTGTATGTGCATCAGACAAGCAAGTTAAAGTCGGTGTGGCTAAGATTGAGTTGAAGGCTTTGGAGCAACTTCTATTCTGGTTGATTCTGTGACTATTATTGGATGTTTCATCTGACATTCCTGAGTTGAGAAATAATTGTCTTTCAGCGTACATATAAACAAAAATGGATTTGAGATTTAAACAGGTCCTGTTATTTATGCTATTTCTTGTGGTTTTAAATGGTCATGCCACAGCAGAGTCAGAAACAGAGAGTTTACCAAGGTTAAGAGCTGCTCCATTGAGGAATACAGGGGTTAGTGTTATAGATGGCATAGGAACAGAGGATGTCCTTATATCTGATAGTGATACGAATGGACTGGATGAAAGGAAGGTTGGAAGTGGCAGAGTCTCAGTGTCCACAGTTGCATTTCTCACGCTGGCAATGGCTGCTGCTACCGGTTTAGGTGCACTACAATTCTTCTTTGTGGAACTTGATCCCCAGTGGGCTGGAATATGCAATGGGATGGCTGCTGGGGTGATGTTGGCAGCAAGCTTTAACCTCATACAGAAAGGACAAGAGCATGGTTGTCACGACCCCATTCCGCCTTTAGTAGAATGGTGTCATGATGGCTAGTAATCCGAGATTACCAAAGGCCAACTTACAAAGATTCACACAATCAGAGTATATATATATATATATATATATGGGGCATACATGTGTGGAAATAATAAATTTAAATATAAATAGTCCATAAGAGCTGTGCATACCCGCCCGAATTGCACCCCTAGTAGAATGGTGTCATGATGGCTAGTAATCCGAGATTACCAAAGGCCAACTTACAAAGATTCACACAATCAGAGTATATATATATATATATATATATGGGGCATACATGTGTGGAAACAATAAATTTAAATATAAATAGTCCATAAGAACTGTGCATAAATCAAATGAAATGACATACATCATGACATCGTTTACAACTTGGATACAAATGAAATAAAGTACATATTACATCTTGATCAAAAGGTTTCTCAAGCCGAAACATACAAAAGATATGGATTACAAATTAAGAAGCATAATCTTCAAGATGCTAGCAAAACATGAATCCAAAACAACTTGCAAATGACATCTAGACGTCACCGTCCTCTTGCTCGTCACCTACATATATATAAGGAGGGGGTGAGCTTGGATACTCAGTGAATGATATTAGTAATAAAGATTTGACCGAAAGATATTCGAAATCTTTATCAAAACAATACATAGCATAACTTGTACAAATCAAGGGATGAACCAAGGTCATCTATCAAGTCTTTCAAAGCTTCAAGGGATACTTACTAGCATCAATATAATACAAGGGATGACATTACTGACAAAACAAGGGAATAATCGACCCGGAATCGATTAGACAAACCCACCCGTACAAGACCGTCAGTGGCAAGGGAGATATCTCAAACAAGGGTACTAATTGCATTATAGTCCCCTAGCACTAAAGACTTTCCAAGAATGTCATCAAAACAAGATAATATTTGATACAAAATTAGGAATAATCATTCATATTTGAACAAACACTTTTCCAAAACGAAACAAGCACAGTTTTTATCAAAACATTAGAACATAGCTTTATTAAAAATACCACTCACACAGCTCTTCGGGTGCATGGATTAAGGCTAGAATCCAAGACCTACAAATACATGGCAAGGTCCACTGAAACGCATTTTAAGAAGACAAGAAAAGATGCTCAAAGATGGATATGAAATGCATTCCCAAAATAAGCTTTACATGAGTGTAAATGATCCCGGCATTTCTTTCAAAACTAAGTCAAGACAAAGCAAAACATGTGCTGGGAGTTAAAACACTGTTTCTCACCTCAGGAAAACATGCTGAGTACCAACCAGGTCTTGGCCGAGGTCTCACACCTCTTGGCCGACGTGTGGTCTCCTAGGCCTAGGTGCAAGATCTAGGCAAGAGTGGGTCTCAACGACCACACTTAGGGAAATAAAAGGCTGAAAAATCTGGGTTTCCTCTTGAAAAACATGAAGAACATGAATGCCAAAATCATAACTTCTTTATTCAAAATCTGAGATTTCATGAGATGAGTTCAAAAACATGGACCTGAGTACCCATAGTTGAAGATCTTCTTGAAAACAAACATAAAAACACGAAACTTGTTACAAACTTTCGGATCAAAACATGGTTTTCCTTCAAGAACACAAGAACATCATTTTCTCTTTCTAAAATCAAACTTTAAATCAATGCATGGCTCATGAATCATGTCAGATCATGCAATGTGATCAAATAAACATAAAGAACAACAAGAGTAGATCAAGAATCTAACCTCAAAACACGGATCTAACTGCTCAAACTCTAAAGATTAAGCTTGGGATCTAGCTCTCTCACTCTAAACTCCTCTTTCTCTTCCTAGAGCTTCTCTCTCTACAATGCAAAAGGTATGACACAAATGATATGGGTTCTCAGCTAGTACCTGACTTAACCCTCTGCTGGGACATGTGGCAACGCCAGATTAGATCTCCTCAAAAAGGTGACAGAATGACAAGATAAGAGTTATGACAAAGTATGTATATCAAGCAAGGTGACAAGGGCACTCTAACAAGGAAATGACCTCGGATTAAGACATAGGCTTCGGCAAGTAAGGTCTCAATGATCTCAGCTAGGAATGATGACACTTGACTTAGCTGTGCCACACCTCGGTCTAGGTCATACCAGTCCAGGAACAAGATCACTAGGTACAAGGATCAAGGATCTAGGACGCCTAGAAGATAGCATCTCGGCCTAGATGATACACACCTCGGCCTAGATGATGACATCTCAGCTAATATGCCAGGGTGAAGGTGGAGGTCAACCAAATTGGTTCCAAGGTGGTCCTAGGTGTTAGCGTGCAATGGCCTAGGTGTGAGAGGTTCAAAGGTGTGACCTAGGCTACGCACACCAAGCAAGGAACAAAGCATACAAGCAATACTCAAACAAATCACGTAAGCACAAAACAAGACAGGGACCTTTACTTTAGGCAAAACAAGTCAAAATCTACAAATGCAAGCTTAACAAAACAAAATCATGCAGATGCACATGAACATGGCTAAGACGAGGATGAGGGTCATTATAGTCTACCCCCCTTAAAGAAGTTTGGTCCCCAAACTTAAGTTACCTTTCCCTGAAAACAACTCCGGATAACGGATTTTCACTTCCTCTTCCATTTCCCATGTAGCCTCTTTGCCGTAATGCTCATTCCATTCAATTTTCACCATCGGTATCACTTATTCCTCAACTGTTTCACTTGCCTATCAATAATTTTCATCGACTTCTCCTCATAACCTAAATCTTCATTAACCACAATTCCAGAATAATCAATCACATGCAGTGGGTCCCGAATATACTTCCTTAACATCGAGACATGAAACACATTGTGGACTTGGCTTAATTCTGGCGGTAAGGCAAGCCTATAGGCAACGGGGTTAAACTTTTCAAGAATTTCAAATGGCCCGATGTAATGAGGTGCTAACTTACCTTTCTTCCCAAATCTTGGAACTCCTTTCATCGGCGAAATCTTCAAGAATACGTGATCCCCAACTTCAAATTTTAACTCCTTTCTTCTCTGATCGGCATAACTCTTCTGTCGACTTTGAGCGGTTTTGATTCTTTGCTGAATGAGTTTAATCTTCTCAGTTGTCACTTGAACTAGCTCGGGACCAATCAAAGCTTTGTCTCCTACCTCGGTCCAACATATCGGCTATTTGCACTTCTTTCCATACAAAGCTTCATATGGTGCCATGCCAATGCTAGCTTGATAACTGTTATTGTAAGCAAATTCCACTAATGACAAATGCACTTCCTAACTTCCCTTGAAGTCCAATACACATAGTCTAAGCATATCTTCAAGTGTCTGAATTGTTCTCTCGGTTTGCCCATCGGTTTGGGGATGAAAAGCTGTGCTAAACCTGAACTCGGCTTCCAAAGCTCTTTATAGACTCTGCCAAAATCTAGAAGCAAACTTCGGATCTTGGTCTGACATAATGGACATCGGCACTCCATGAAGTCTAACAATCTTATTCATATACAACAAAGCAAGTCGATCGGCATTAAAGGTAGTCTTAACGGGCAAGAAGTGTGCTGACTTAGTTAATCTATCAACGATAACCCAAATCGAATCCATACCTTTTTGTGTCTTTGGCAAACCAACCACGAAATCTATGGAGATGTGTTCCCATTTCCACTCAGGAATCGGCAGAGAGTAGCTTGTTAGCTACCCCTGACACCCACCGGCCCTGGCTTGAGGCCACCGGCCGTGTATTCTTGCTACCGGCCATTGGTGAAATATACCATTGGCCGGTCGGCATTTGGCATGGTCGGTCGACCATCTGTTTGGCCGATGGACTCCTTTTCTGGCCGATACCACCTTTTTGCCTTTTTTAGGTATAATGCGTACCGGCTGTGCCAGTTGGAATGCACGGACCCTGCCCTTCATGCACGGGTGTGGCTGTTTTAAACCTTTGAACCTTTTTGGTCCAAGCTTCCTAGAGAAGATTGCACCCTTTGCTCAAGCTTCTTAAGGAAGCTTGACCCTTTGTCGTAGCTTCCTCAAGAAGCTTACACCCTTAGCTTAGCTTCCTTCGGAAGCCTTGACCCTTTTTGAATAGCTTTCCTTGGAAGCTTAATTTTTGCATTGTCTCTATAAGAGACCCCTCTTCTCCTTTGATGGGGTTGAGCAAAAAATTAGACCTAGAACATATATATTCTGATACATACATCTTCTCTCTCTATATCTCCCTCTCTCTCTTCATTTGTGTGTGTTTGAAGGACTAAAAGGGTGATTTGTTCTTACTTTTGCACTAAAACACACACCATTACACCATACTTCGACTTTGGGAGGTGTTGAGGGTTTATTCTTGAGGTTTTGAGTTGATTTTGATCAGAAGAAGGTGGCTGGACTTGCTGTTCTTGAGGTGTTCTTCAAGGGTAACACTTTTGTTTAGATTCTCCAATCTTGCACTAGCTTTTGACCTGCTTTGCACACTGATTTGAGCTTCGTGTATAACTAAAAAAAATCTTGTATTTGTATTCTTAAGATACTTCATTAAGGTCATTTTGTTGTTCGGGGTCGATCTCCCCCTCTTAGGTCTTGTTTGGCCCTTTTTGTGCTCTCTTTGATAAGCTTTGGGGACTTTTGTGTATTGGCCTTCTCACCACTGAAATCCAGTAGATTTTCAGTGGTGAGGAAGGGGTTTTGAAGTATTGCATAGGGGAGGGACACCCCTTTCCTTTGGTCTCTCTTTTGTTTGCATTTTTGGCCTATAAGGATAGCATGTATGATTAGTTGTTCTTGGCTTCATTCCAGAGGTTTTTGGGTGTTATTGGGTCATATTACGCCTCTGTTTTTGGTCGGATTGAAGGTCCCTTGCATGCATAATATACTTACTTTGTATTCCCCCGTTATGCCTAGAAGTGCATCATGCATTTAACCTACTATGCTCTCATGTTTTGGCTTAACTTTGTGAAGTTCTTAGCCATGTCATACCATGCTTAAGGTCTTTTAGGAGCTTATTTGATCATATTTATCATGTTTGG